TGTGTGTGTGTGTGTGTGTGTGTGTGTGTGTGTGTGTGTGTGTGTGTGTGTGTGTGTGTGTGTGTGTGTGTGTGGTGTGTGCACACGCGCGCGTGTATACATATACATGTAGTCGCACGCGCGTAGTGACACGTGCAGAAGAGGTAGAGTTGTTACACACGCTCGTTCACTTGGGGGGAGTATCGACGAAATCGCAACGAAGACGGGGCCTTACTTTCGCGTATCGAAGCGTATCGATCATTTGCGTGCGTAAGTTAGACGGAGGCGCCAAAGATCACCGATTTCCGATCGTCTCGCCGCGATTATTCGTTGCGAGAGTGCGCGACAGTTTCAACCCTTTCCTGCGAGATCTATTTTCACGTGGACGAGTCGATTTATCGCGAAATCGCTTTCAGAAAGGGATAAGGAGCTTGTCTTACTATTATTTTTTAAATAATTCTTATTGTTATTTTCTAAGTAATTTTCTTTTCTTTTGTCGCGTCGTTTAACTCTTCCATCGTCTCTCCTCCTCGATTTGCATCCGGTGAGGGATTTGTCACAGGAGTCATAAGACGTGGGAAATGTGGAAGCGCGGGGATCGCGAGTTCGAATGTATCTTAATGAGGGTGATCTCGCCGGAGAAATGTCCCGGTGACAGATCTCGGCGGTAATGATGTTTGCCCGCTCTTGGCGTGTCTTAGAGGCAACCGGCAGCAGCGAGGGTTCGCTTTAACCGGACTGAAGCAACGGGCTGTCATCGATAAGTCGACGTGTGTGATGCCGCGAGAGAGAAAGAGGGAAAGACAGAGACAGAGAGGGAGAGTGGCGGTGCTCGCGGCGAGGATTACGTTTAGACAGCATCTGACAGCGAAAGCAAAGAGGACACGGTATAGTCGTCTTGCTGACGTGTGTCGGAAAATATTCGGGAGCGACGAGAACGGAAATAATAGCCATAGTATCGTTCCACTGTTGAATCCAACCCCAATAATAAAAGTAAAATGATTCTATGCACGATGTAAAATGTATAAAAATTGTAACATGAGAAATAGTGATATGATACAGTATTATACAATATGAGAACAGTAATATGAGAAGAGAACATGGAAATATTACAAATATAAATATCATGTTGGTGCAAAAGATTTGTCGAATTTGTCAAATGAAAACAAAACCGATATCATTCATTAATATTGATCATTTTTACGAATATAATAGACACAACATCGCCTCAATATTTTTTTTCAGAAATTCAATGAGTCTTCCTAGTTTCTTTTTGAAATTCAAATTCGTGACTTTCTATGAGTCTCAGAATTTAAAAGAAAAACGACAAATCTTTTGCAGCAACTTGATACAATTAATCGCTTGGAATTGTGTTTTATATGTATTCATTTCATAATACGAAAGTTAATGCTATTATTGCTAAAATATTGCTATAATATGTCAGTAAATTAAATTTTCTTGGGAATACAATGTAGTAATTTTCGTATTGAAGAGTGGCACTACCAAACATTAATTCTACTAAACAGTTAGCTTGAGATGATAAAGCAGTTATATTTTGATAGATATTTAAATTATATTAATTTAACCGCAATACAGCTTTGAATCAATAAAAAAAATCTTACATTAATGTTCCGGCTTAAAATTTATCAGAAGTCCCGGTAAGTAACATTTTAAGATCACATCAATGGTAACATCACTACCATCTTTAGCAACATAATTGAAAACTTTTAAAGTTTGATGTTGGTGCGATATTTTTGTGGGTCGTAATGCATTGCGACGAAATCCATATGTGCCGTTCGTTCTGGACGATGCGCGTTTGCACAAGCCACACGTTCGACTCCACGTGTAGACTCGTAACGTGAATTCGTAACTGCGAATTGCGCGTAAAGCTGCCTCTGAAGTTTCACAGCCCGGGGAGAGAGAGAGTCTCCTTAAGCAGCCGCGTCCTACATGGAATCCTCGGTGAGCTTAGGATCTATTCGCTTAATCTCTGCGGCCATGGTCGGCTCCTCGTAATGGAGCCGTGAAGCGAAAGGGACACGGCGGACGTCGCGTTTTAGAGGACGTCTTAATCTTTCAGACGCTCGTTAGGCGTCTCATTATTCTTTTTTCTGGAAGCTCACGTTGTCAGGAAGAGTATAAGTAACAAGATTTATTCGTCGCACGCAGGATATACACTTCGGGGAGAAGTTCTCGCGAGAATGGTCCGACAGCGGCGAGGAGCCGGTGAAGGAAGGCGTCCTCCACGGACCAAAAGGTCTAGCTGGCCAACTGATGAGGAAACACGATAGCGAGGCTGGCAGACGCGCCATACGCTCTAGGATGCAACGCGTGTGCAAGTGTCACGGTGAGCATGCTATTATTAGCGGTGAGCTATGTTATTACTCGTTTAATAGCCGAACGTGGTTTATAGTATTAATAACGTTGTTGGCTTAAATGTTGTTTGGCTAAATTCTCCATCTCTTAGTTTCTACAGCGATTGACCGAAATTGTGCATCGACGAAGTAAGCATTTCCAGCGTGCAAGCTCCTACGACCTTATTCTCGAAAAATATCGCATACGATATTTCTATGAAACATTATAGTTCATGTCACGTATATTATAGCTTTTCACCGAAATACCGTATGCGATATTTTTCAAGAATACGGTCCCTGGACCAAGTCGATTAGCACTGTCGATAATTCTGATGGAGATACGGTGCTTATCTCGTTGATATACAATTTCGATCTGTCGCTGTAGGAACTAAAGAATTGAGAACTTTCGTGTTCTGTAGAATATCAGACTGAAAATTAGAGATGCGACAGCGTGTAGCGTGCAAATCCTGTTGAACCAAAGCAATTAGCACTGTCGATAATTCTGATCTTTTGATGGAAATTTTCTGACGGACAGAAATTTCATGTATCGACGAAGTAAATACTGTATATCGATCAGAATGATCGATAATTCAAATTTGCTCGGTCTTCCGGACTTCCGGATTGGCACCGCGTCCTTCGTGGATTCATTTCCGACGAGCATCCCACTTCACTTCTTCAGGAGACCTTCATCAGTAGACCAACGATTGGAGACTGTACAGTCTCCAGTTCAATTTCACGACTTTCAATCGGTCGAATTAGCTACAAGATATCCAGCCAAATAAAAAGGCTGAAAAATAGTTAATCGGGAAATTCTCGAGACTCGCGATCAGTTTTTCATTCTGTTCTTCTCTTCTTCCTCGGCAGGCATGTCTGGCTCGTGCAGCGTGCGCGTGTGTTGGAGAAGACTGCCGACTTTCAGGGTGGCCGGAGTCGCTCTGGCGGCATTGCACGAGGGTGCCGCCTTGATGCGGCTGGCGCAGCGCGGCGGAAGGAGACCGGCCAGGCTCAGACCGGCGCGACCCGATCTCAAACGGCCGAACAAGACGGATCTGGTTTACCTCGAAGACAGCCCCGATTACTGCGAAAGGAACGTCACGTAAGTGTGCGACTCATCCGACTCCTCGCTGTCGTCCTACACTATTGTATTACTCCGTCACGTTTACTTTTATCAACTGCGGCGCGTCAGGAGGCTCTTCTCCTCAAGGTTCAGTTTCTCACGCGCGCGTTTGAAGCGGCGACACGCGAGTTAATCTCCCGATAAGGTCGTCGCGTGAGACGCTAGAGAAAGAGGAGGATGCTTCTTATGTTTCTGCCTTTTTTTTTTCTTTTCTTCACGGACGATCAGTTTCGCTGAATGCAAATTAATTAGTCACTAATTCTCTTTCTTGCCCTAGGCTCGGCATTCCCGGCACGCGAGGCAGAATATGCAACAAGACGTCCCTCGGCCTGGACGGATGCCGGCTGCTGTGCTGCGGTCGCGGCTACCAGACGCGGGTGCAGAACGTCACCGAGAAATGCAAGTGTCGATTCGTCTGGTGCTGTCACGTCAAGTGCGAGCTGTGCCGGCACTCGCGCGAGGAGTACGTTTGTAACTAGACGCTAGTTGAAATTGTATTCCGCTACCGCGGCCTATCTGAGGAGTACATATATATATATATATAAATATATATATGTATGTATGTATGTATACATACATAAGCGCGCGAGAGCGTGCACCTCCGTGCCCGCAAATCGCCCGTAAGCACGAGCTCTCGCGCGAGGCTCGTCGCCACTTTTGTGTTGTACCGTTATTATCACGTTTTATCGTCAGTCAGCCGACAGCCGCGAGAGGCTACGCACGTTACGTCGATGCGGTTTTCTTGCCTGACAGTCTGCCGGTCGGTCGTCAATTCCGTTCTCCGGCAACGTCGAGTGTGCGCGAGCTAACAGGATGGGACGTCTTTCATCCCGGTGTTCCTTGCGTCTCAACTCGGCGACGTGATTTCGAACGGTTAAAGTGCGTCTCGACCGGGTTAACGATCGTTAACTCTTCCCCGGGAGCAAAAACGTGAAAAGTGAGAGGCTTCATGCGAGCTCAACGATTTTTTGGCGACAATGTAACTTCTGGAACTGCAGAAGTGTGGACGGTTCTTTCTTTCAGGCAAGACTCTTCACTTTCTTCATGTTTTTAATTCGTTTCATCCTGCGCGGCGTAACGTTATGCTCGAGTGGACTTATTCGCAACGGCCGAGGTACTCAGTATTACTGCCATCGTAGGTGATATATAAGGTGGTCCACTTTCACCTCGCACGTCCACTGCCATGTTCACGTCTACGTCCGAGCCCCCACATCCGTTTCCTCTATGTGGAAGTTGACGTTAAGGACGACGCGTGTCCGTGAGGTTGCCGTTGCGTGGCTTATCGGTCTGGCCCGACTGTCAGGTGTGTGTGTGTGTGTGTGTGTGTGTGTGTGAGTGTGTGTATCTGTGCGGCACTTTATTTTTACGCGAACGTTAATGCATCGCGAGTCAGTGTGTTACTTTAATTTACATTTAATCGCGTAACTCCATCTCCACCCGGACGCATACGCCGCAGACGAGAGAGATTGATATTCCAAGGATGAATTAATACACATGCCACGCGCATATGCTCGCTTTTGCATCATCGAACTCGCGTGCGATTCGATCACTTGGAGTCCTGAGCGAAGCGAGCTACGCGAACGGCACGGGATCAAGCTTCTTATCTTCCGACTATTACATAATATATACATATATATACACACATATACATATATATATTTATTTATTTTATACGCCTGCGCATATATAATTATGTATAATTAAATATTTATAATTATATATAATTATATATTTTTAATTAAATATCTATATAATATATACATTTATAGTATGTATAATTACGTATAATTAAGTAAATATTAATTAAGTACACATATATTTAATGCGTATAAATGCGTATCGATTAGACGTACGCATGAAATGTGCACGTTCTTCTTAGAGAGAGAGACTCGCAGGATAAAGATTTCCGCGTTTGACTTTTACCTAGATCTTCATTCGTAACGTATTTAAATATCTCGCAATACTCGACATCACGCCCCTGTGTGCCAATTTGTTATTTCTACGTATGGCGAAGGGAAAGAGAGAGTGTATGTGTGTGTGTGCGTGTGTGAAAGAGCGAGCGAAAGGATAAAGAAGAGCAACGACTGCTCTTTCCGCGTAATTCTATCGCGTGTGCTGTAACAAATTTGCGTGTGACGCACGACTGTCTCACATATATCGAAGTGAAGACTCTCGTACGTTGATTAGAGATGTCTCACAGCATACACCAATGCTCTCGAAGCGCGTAGGTTCTTCTCTTAGCCCATGATACATAGGGCAAATCGCGAGAACGCGCGTACAACGCAAGCTATGAGAAAAGAGGTGAAGAGGGAGAAAGGATGAGGCGGTCACGAAGCGCAAATCCGCCTCGCGAGTTATCGCGCGCCTCGAGACTCGCACGAATCGGGAACAATTCTGCCAATGAACGATGTACATAGCGTCTCACCGTTTTTCTAGATTCCACGTCCACGATCATTGTTGTATATATATGCATATGTACGAGAATTTCATATTCGTTTTCGTTTATGAGAGAGAGAGAGAGAGAGAGAGAGAAAAGAAAAGTTATTGTCCTGCGTTCTCCACGGCTCACGCGAATAACATAACTCATATTCTCGCGATTTTATCTCACTGTCACTTTATAGTATACACACACACACACACACACACATATAATATATACATACAGACATATAGAGATACATGTATATATGCTGCGTATACGCGCATGTGTGTATGTATGCAATACGGACCCGGGAAAACGGCGTCTAGTCATTTACGAATTCTCCTGATTCATATCAGCCAACACTTGAACGCTCCAACGACCAACGTTGCGCGCTAGATCTCGAATACATTATGCGTGTCGGAAGACGTGACATATACATCGTTATTTTATACCTTGAGATATCAAGCACTACGCAATATCTTAGCAAGATAATCGGCAATCTCCTGAACAACTCGCTGCAAAATAAATTCGAACATGTCTTACACAACGTGCATACATATTTGCATATGTATTTCATTACATATAAACGTATTTAATTTATAAATACACACACGCGCGCGCGCATATATGCTTACACACACACGGGTAGGATTTACTATTAAATTTCTACACAGTATATATATATATATATATATATA